CGGCGTACGAGGTTTATCGGACTTGGAAGTACAATTCGTCTCTGTACCAGCCACTCAGCGCGGACCGTATGATGCAGCGGGAAGGTTTAATCGGGATGGCCATAGGCGAAGGTATTGTCGTTCCCCGTGTCTTCTCCGCAATCGATCTGACGAGTGTTTCTCAATAGCCACGCGGTTATGGCAGTACTCCGGACGCTCGATGGATGCCTACGGGCAACGGGCAGCATGTGAGGCCGCAGCAGCGACTGCAGCACTCCTCGCTGACGAGGTACGCTTCTGATAGCATCCCAGCGTGGCGACACACCTACAGTACATACTGACCGAACACTCAACGCAGTTTATATCGATGCTCGGCGGCGGAGCGACCGTGTTCCCCGCAAGCCCAGTCATGTCGCCCTACATGATGCCCTCCACCCCCGTGCCCGTATCCTACGCGGGCTCCGAACCCGGATACCTCGGCGCCGGGATGTATGGGGGCTACTCGCCCTCTGCGGGCACGATCGCTGCTCCCGCAGGCTCGACGGTCATCGTTTCGCGGCCGCGACGCCACTCGTACGAGCGCGGCCGCACGCATTCACGCGATCGTTACGGGGAGCATCACCACCACCATCATCGCGGCCGGAGCGTCGAGGTCATCCAGACAGGCGGGCCCGGGTATGGGTACCAGCCGTACTATGGAACTGGGTACGCCGGAGGATACGCCCCTGCGTACAATGGGTACGGGTATGGTGGGTATGGTGGGTATGGTGGGTACGGCAGCGGGTATGGGTACGGGTATGCTCCGTACGGATACGGGGGCCAGTATCCCTCTGGTTGTGTGATTTGCTGATTTTGCTCCTGTGACTTGTAGCTTAGGGTCTCGTTGCTGTGATCTATCGCATCTCTGTACTAGTTGTACGCTATTCCCCGCCTGCAGGCCATGCATACCCCGTATCATTACCATCCTCACTACTGAATGTACTTCTACACATGTATCGTGTATGATCGATGTGTATTGTATCTTCTGCTGTATATAAACGGCGAACTCCTTTGGATGCCGCTCATGACTTTCCTCCTTGGCATGCGTTAACCCCAACAGCTCTGCAATGAGTGCGCGGTACTAGAGCGCCCGCCGATCTCAGCCTCCGCCGTTCGAATGTACCTCTGATGGGCCACAGTCCCACAGGAACCATGCTGACCTTCACGGTCATCCAAATCTGATACAGAAAATATGGATTGAGACAAGATGCTTGGAGCACGAGCGTGCGGAAGCGTGACATAAGGCTAGTCGCCAGAGACACGCATCTGTTCGAGCCAGATTCGAGCCCACTGCGACCGAATCCGATCCTGATGATAGTTGTGGCTAACGTGTATTGCCATGAGACAAGTCGTACAAGTGCAGATGACAGATAAAAATGCCTAGCGAAACAGGTTGCGTGTATACGATACATAGCGTGTAAGGTGTGGTATGCGATGCGAGGGTATTACGTAGGAAAGCAAGTACACAACTCGTTATTATAATCGTACAGCGGCAGAAAACAACCCACAGCAATAGATCCAGAACAGCAGAGCAAATCGAAGGCGTCCTCAAGCCTGAATGGGCTCCCACTCCCCCCGCCCCGACATGGACGTCGGCGGGGCATCCTTGGCCTGCAGCCCAAACCACGCCGGGATCTGCTCCCAAGCCTCCCTCCTCGCCTTCGCGACCGCGATCGAGAAGTCCTCCTTGCACGACGCGCAGATCCTCAACCCGCACTGGCGCGTCCCGTCCGAGAAGTCCGTCCGCGAGAGCATCTCGACGCCCTGCAGCAGCGAGAACAGCGGATCCGCGTCGCGCCCCGTCGCGATCCCGCCCACCGCGCGCAGCAGGTTCAGCATGATGAAGTAGTACGACTCGCGGCAGTGGTGTCCGTTCGCGTGGGGCCGGTTCGCGCAGTTGGCCGAGATCGCGCGCCCGGAGAGCTCCTGCTCGATGAACGCCGCGAGGAAGCGCTGCCCCTGCTCGCGCCCGCGGAAGACGGCTTGCAGGTCGGAGAGGTCAAGCCTGACGATGACCGTGTTCGGATCTTGGGGGTCCGCGTGCGCGTGTGCGCGGCTCCGGCTGGAGAGCAGCGCAGGCACGGTGGATGCTCCGGCGGCAATCTTGCGTGGGCCGTAGCGCGAGAGGTCGTACAAAGCGGAAGGAAGCATGTGGTCCAGTCCCAGCTCTTGGCAGAGTTGGATGACGAGGATCGGATGCGGAAAGTGCTCGCGAGGACAGTAGCGTGTGTCGACTGTGGCATGTTGCTCGCGCTTGTCCCAGCCGCCCAGAGTAGTAGGCCAATCCGCCTCGAGGCGCATCAAGCAACGCTCACGGAGGTGCTCAATCAGGTACTTGGTCGAGAGACGGAGCACGGCCGAGACTGCGCAGAAGTCGCCTGAAGTCCGCTTGGTGAAGTACCTAATGTGACGTTGCGGAGTGAGTGTCAGAACTCGACGTGTCAGCCGCGTGGAAGAACTCACAGGCCGTCGTAGAGTGCCCGCAGGAGGTGCAGCACATCTCCTGGATCGTCGTGTAGCTGGACCCAAGGGCACCCATCGATCATGTCACCCACAGGCTGGGGGAGGGAGAACATATCGTGGAAGATGTCGGAATGGCGCACGAGCTGGCCCCGATGCACCTTGAACGCGACATCTTGCACGAGGAGGATGATGTTGCCGTCAGCGAACCAGAAGTCCGTCGTCCTGAAGTGCTGCAGGTTCGGGTGGGCGGGCATGGCTGCGTCGGGCTTGAGGTGGTCGTGGGGGCAAGGAATGGGGGAAGTGGAAAGAGGACTGCGGGAGGCGCAGGGCGGGACGTGCACCGACTACACCCCTGCAGATCACGATTGAGCCCGACGTCAGCCCCCCACCTCCGCAATAATGAAACACCGGATTAGAGGCCGAGAAGCATTGGCATAGCTACTATGTGCTAGCGCCGAGGCCAAAATGTAACGGTAGATACACTATGAAAACACTAAGACCACATAATACACATGTCCACGAGAGAGCTACAGATCATGATCATGAATCATAAAAGGTCATTAAGAGGCGTAACATGTCACTCGGACTCAGCGCGAATTCCCAGAATGACGGGACTGCGCATGTGAAGTCGGACGTCCAGGGACCTGAATGCTGACCTGCGGCGAGGCAGCCCTACCCACATGTGGGGAAGCATGCATGACAGGCGGGGGCGACGGTATGAGACCAGGAGGTGGCCCAGCCATCATATACACCGGCACAGCCTGGTGAGCCTGAGCCTCCGGGGACCGCGACATGCCAGAGGACGACGAGGATGAGGTTCCTCCTGGGTGTGCCATCGGCGTGGACATCGGCGACTGGTAGACGTACAGCGGCTGCGGAGGCGCGAAGTAGTAGCTGTACGACATCATGTGGTGGCCCTGCCCGTGCGAGGACGCCCCGGGGGAAGGGATGAGAGCGCCTGGAGAGGTCATGTAGCTCGCGGGCGTACGTCCGTCTGGCTGCATCCGCGTGGCCGAGCGGACGCTCGCAGACGCCTCGCTCCGCGATTGAATCGTGCCGCGGCGGGCAGGTACTGTTGCCGGGGCAAGCAGGTCGATCTCCTGGTGTCCCTTCTGGTTTACGCCAGTGTACCACGACCCGTGTGGCTTCGACTTCCCGACGTGGGCTCTGGCTGACGCCGCGGGGACGTAGTCGAGCGCCACGCGTTCGGACGTCCATGGGAGGTTCCTCAGCTCGCTGAAGAAGTTCTGCACGCGCGTTATGTGCGTCTTGAACGAGTCGTCTGGAGGCGCGAACCTGATCGGGGAATCCATCTTCGCATAGTCGCTCGCCGGGAGGGGGTCGACAGGCTCGGGGCTGCGGAAGCGCGGGCTGCTGGCGACGCTGGCGACGAGGGCTTGACCTCCGTGTGCATGCGAGCTGCTCCGCTGTGACGCCCGGTGTTGACTCAGGCTAGTCCTCTGTTGGCTGCTCCTGCGCGTAGGGTTGGCGTACGAAATCTCCGTAGGAGACTTGGGAGCCGGTCCGGGCATGTCGATGCTTTGGACGTAGTGAACGCTCTCCGGGTTGGCAACGGTGACCCCCGGATCGTCGTAGGCAGGGAGGAAGTGAGACTGTCCAGGGGACATCTCCGTGCCAGGTGCGCCCTTCCGGGTGGCTTTGCGATCGTAAAAGTGGCTCTTCACGACCGCCTTCGGAAGCCTGCGCAGCCCACTCACGAAGCCGCCCACAAATTGCTTCGCTCGGCCCTTGTGCTTCGGTTCTGCCTGGTCGAGTTCCACGGGATATGGGTACGGGTCGTTCTCTGGGACAACCTGCTCCTGAGGTTGAGGCGCGCCGTCATAATAAGCTCCTCCGTCGGTCCATCCTTCCTCGTTCGCGCTCGGCCCTATCGACATGGCCTCCTCCTCACCCTGCTCCTCCCATTCTCGATCGCTCCTGGCTTCGGAAGTGGGCTGTCCGGGGTAGGGTGGATAAGGGTCCGGTTCTCGCTCCTGCTCTAGCTCGGAGGGGGCCGGATAAGATGGGCGAAAGTCCATGGGACCGCGAGAGGGAGGCGGGGATGGCACAGGCAGCGGGCGCGAGCCGACAGACGAGCCTGGAGGGTGTGGGGAGAGCATACCGTTAGATACCCAGCTCGGATTGCTGGCGCGGCTGTATCGCGGTGTGCGACGAGTGCTGGGCGCGGGATAACCATTGCTCTGGCGACCCAGAGGAGACTCAGGGTAGAGACCGTTCCGCGGGCCGTCGTTGTAGTCGGACATGTTGAGACTAGTGGCGACGAAGAGTGTGCGCGTAAAGCAGAGACTTTGTCTGACCTTTAAACGTCCGCAGCCGCCCCACGGACCACGAGGGCACAACGAGGCATTTATTTCCGGGACGGCTGAGTGACTTACACGCAAGGTCTAGGAAAAAGCGGGGAAACATCGAGGACCAGAGCTATGACTGTGCAACGGTTACGAGAACTGGTGGCAAGTTCTTGATTGAGCTTAGCGTGCGAAGGGAGTGCGGTGAAAAAGGGGCCCAACCGGGAATTGAACCCGGGACCTCGCGCAGTTTGAGGTTTTTCAACCCGGGAGCACCCGAAGCGCGAATCATACTACTAGACCATTGGGCCGATAGGAGGTTTTCCAAACAACGCACTATAACAGTTCCAGACGTGTCCTAGCTCTTCGACCACCGACCGGCGACTACTTACCATAGCCTACCTTGACGCATTCCACAACTTGCAGATCCCGGAAAACTAACTGGTACAATGAAGACTTGCTATGAAGCCCAAAAGAGAATCGTACTGCGCCAAGTATTACCTTCTTCTTGTTCGATCTCTTGCCATTAATCTGACTCTGAACATAGATCATACTCCTATAGCTATACGGAAACGTAGGCAACATAAGTGAACGTCCTCCTGAACTCGTGGGGAGTACGACAAATCTCTCGGCGCTGGTCAAGGAATATCGCGGGCTTGTCCGGTCACTTGAAGTTCTTCACCATGTGCACGTCTGCCTCGTAGATCTCCAACGGATCATCTTCTGGGCCCTTTCGGCCTACCCAGTGCAGTGCTTGCAAGCGCAAGTCGGATATCTCGATGCGACCAAAATACCATGGATGATTGGTATATTCACCCCAATCGTGTTTGGCGGCATCGCACTGACATGAAGCATTAGCATGGCCACAGCAAGTGAGAACACGTCTTACCTTCAGAAACTTGTCATAGGCCTTTGCCACTCCTTGCGCAATCGAGCCATACGTGCCGTCAGGTGAGACTTCGTACATCCACTCGCGCTCTGTCCCGGGCCACTAAATCACGGTCGTATGTCAGTATTCATTCCGACTCAGATAATTCGTTATAGACGCACCCGGAGCCGCAACAAGAACTTCTTTGCGTGCCAAGGGTCCACCACCTTCCTCAGAGTCCACATCGCGCCGCCGGACCGTTCAAAGTGTTGCGCCTGGTAGCCGTAGCGGAGGACCTCTGCCATCGGTGCACCCCGATTATCGTCGGTGAAGAATATCGGGTACGGCAGGAACGACCAAGATGGGAGCTCCGGCGGTTGGAGTCCTTCGCCGCAATTCACGGGAACGCGCACCCGGAACCTCTCACCTTCAAGAGCGATGTTGGGACCCCACCCGAGGGCATCCCAATTGACACCATCCCACCAATCAATAGGGCGCTGTATCCAAGGCTTCAAGCACGACACTGGATCCTCAGTAGGCGGACGCGGGTGGATGGGCGTCATGATGATGCCCGACTTGGTGAGGAATGGCTTGCCAAGGGTGAAACCCGTTGAAGGAGTCGTCGAAGACATGAACAAGTCCCAGGAAAGGTGCGTAACAGTGGGAGGCAGTGCGGCCATCCCGTCGAGAGCTCGAGATTATTTATATGTGTCTTCGTAGGTCGGAGCTTGGGCCTGTGGCGGTGGACACGGAGTCCAAGCGAACGCAGCGACAGGAAAGCCACGACGCAAGAATGCGCCGCGCGGTACTAGCAAAGAAGCGTTCATTGTATGTGTGTATTGGGATCTGCCATCATGCTCCGCAGCGCATTGTGGTCCACAATAGAATCGTGTGCAATTGACATCCGCCAATACTCTCATTTGATTGTACTCAAATCATGTGGCATGGCAGTCGTCGCAACCTTCGAATTGTTCGCAAAGCAAAGGGTCTGCAGACGATTATGAGTAGAATATATCGAAAGTTGTACCGTACATGATCAGTGACGTGGGTATAAGTCGCGCGCAGACAATATGAAACGAACCGAGACAGAAAAAGGATTAGTCCGCCTCTGGATCGTCGGGGAATATGAAGATCTCTTTGAAGGTATCGGGCAGCTCGATTGGCCGGAAAACTTCATGCACCTCCGCCTGGAACGTGTTTTCGCCTATCCGATGTAGTGCCACGAGATGAAACGTGCTGAGGATATAACGATAGCACAGGCAGCTCTTCCAGTCGGAGGGATCGGGGATCGTCAGCGTATCGTCCAGGATGCGCCACCGTTCCTCGTCGACCGTACCGCGCCACTTACAGTGCCTTGGAGCTTGCTGAAGTCCGGAAGAGACTCGCGTTGAGTGTCAGCAATACGGATACTGTGTTCGTGGTGCTCACCAGCATGAAGCTCAAATATGCCTTTGCGACCTCTGCAGCGAGCTCTCCGCGCATCGCAGAACTTGAGATGGATATCCGACGAGACATGTACTGCGGATACCCGGGCCACTGGAATTACGGAGCGATGAGAGAGCGAATCGTCAGTTCTGCGCAAGGGAGTATTCGTAGAATACGCACTGCAATCCGCAACACGAGCCCGAACACGGGCGTATCGCTGCCAGGGGCGCAGTACACCGTCCCCATCTTCTGGCGCAGGTAGTCCGAGTCCGAGGAAGATCGCGAAAACAGAAGTAACTCCTCCATAGAGACGCTTCGTCTGTCGTCTGTCGTAAAATAGATGGATGCTGGAGGCCATCTTATCAATTCGTGCTCGCCAAGTTGCCAGGATGACGACTCCGTGCCAGTGTCGTGGATGTCTTTCAAGTTGGTGCGCCCCGGTGGCGGCAGTGGCGGTACGCATAATCGGAACGCCTCTCCTTCGTAGGCGGGTCTTGTCTCTGAACTTCGAAGGAGAGCATAGAAAACAAGCTGCGGCTCCTGGAAAATATCCGAGAAGGCTTCTGTAGGACGCATGATCGTGGAGTGCAAGTGGGAGGAGATGAGAGGAGATGAGAGGAGGGACACGCAATCCGGATCAGGATGAGCCACCGGCCGCTTTATTGTCGACGTCGTTGATCATAGCTTCTGACACCTGCCCATTGGGGTACGTTGGGGCAAAGTAGGTCTGTGTGTATGAGTGTCGTCCACAAGAGTAAGACCGTGCAGAAGCGCCGGCACTCCGTCGAGGCAGTGCCATGCGCACAGGAGAATACAACGTTTTCCTATATAGAGGTGAGTATAAGAGAACAACGCCCTGGAGACGGACGACGGAGGACCTTGGTACTAGGGTCCTTATTGTGGATCAGGCCTCGGGAACAGACTTGTCGCGTGCGTGTGATGCGATAGGAAAGCACTACATTGATGTGATGAGAGGACGTAGCAGAGTATGCGAAGAAAGTATGTGAAGAAGAACATGATAGTAGGTGTGGTAACATATGCGCATAAACGAACGACGGATAAGAGGGGAGACATAACAACAACAGAGAAACTGGGAGAGCATACTAGTGCCTGGGCGCGACCAGCTCGATATCCGCCTGGTAAATCTCTCCATTCACCCAGCACAACCGATGAAGCCGCAAGTTGGGAAGGATATTGATATCGTCGTCTTCCCCAGTGATCTGCCACGCGGCTCCCTCATCGGGCTGGAAATCCCATTCACGTGCTTCCTGTTGAGAGTATAGGTCTGAGCGCATCTGAGCCATCGCGTGAACGGAAATACGCACCTGGAGGAAGCTCTCGTACGCTCGCGCAATCGCAAGAGCGATCGACCAGGTCGACCCATCGTGCTCTAATAACACTCTTTGGGTGTATTGCCGATATCCCGGCCACTGGAGAGTAGGAATTGTCAGCTGGAGAGTGCGACGTGATCATAAGGGAACGTACACTTATGTGAAACCATGTCCGTTCCGGAAATAAGATCACCGAGTCGGGCATCCCTAGGACCCAGTACCACGCGGGGAAGTGCTCGTTGTCAAGGATGTCCTGAAGGGAAATCCCTTCTTCATGGATACAAAAGGAGAAGGGATTCGATGGGAGGTCCAGCCAAGGTGCCGGCATAGACACCCGAAACTCCGACGGGATCCTTCGAGGTATAACGACCCGTGAGGAGTTGTCAACGTGGTGTTGCCACATCTCGTCTATCTCTTGAATATAGCTATCCATGGCAACGGAGGAGGAACTGAGGTATGAAGAAGAGAGTGGCGGAGGCGACGTGCACTTGCTGCTTGACATGGTCCCCAACCCCGCTCGCTGTTAAGTACGAAGACCACGGCCATCGCTTTGACTGTACGCTTTGGCACTCGAGGAGGGCCGCATTGACATGTCCAAGCTGTAGAGATGTGTGCGAGAGCGTGCCGTGCCTTGCGGCAGACCAGCAAGGCGGAACACCAGGAGACGCCCGACCGCTAGCGAGAGTACAAGGACGTCCAGATATGTCGTTTGTGGCCCGTCAGTGAGGATGAGAACAAAGCTTAAGTCCGCGAGCCTGGTGGGACAATGAGTAATGGTCGATCTGGTGAGAAATCGGTCGAAATTTGACCGTGCAAGGTGGGTACACTTACCAGGTAAGGTAGGATCGAGCCTTCATCACGACCGCGCTTTGGCTCGAGAGCACGCCGGTAAGGCCCAAGCGTTCACTGCGTGTATTTGACCGATACTGGATCGACGAGTGGACGGCACGTAGGGCCGTTGCCGGCTCGGGGCCGTAGGAGGTCAGTCGAGCGCCGCCGGACGGGGAGATCATCCGGGCCTCGACGATCGCTGTCAGACGGAATCGGCAACACGAAAAAGTCGCCTAGAGAGCGTAGTCTGTCTTCTGGGTAGCCGTCGTGCCAGGATAGTACACTTAATTCGTGGGCGCGATGTTAAGTCCCTCATCGCGGACGCCGGTCCAGGTGGAACGGATTGAGTCTCTAGTATCGCAACATAGTATACCTAGAGGTGTGTCAGCATTAGTACGCCAATCATCCAGTGCGAGTGATCCTCTCAACGTACTTACGAGTGGAGGTGTACTCACAAAATGAGTACCAAAAATTTGTGATAGATCGGGTCTGAGGCCGTGGGCACTCAGTACAAGATATGCCAGTGACACTGCATCACGAAGACGTTCTCAGGAAGTAAGACATTGTTTCAACTTCTTGCTCAAAGGGAGACGGAGGACGTTGAGTGTATGTCAGTTCGGATAGCGGGCTGCGGGTAGTTGAAGATGCTGGCCAGCCCGAGCGTGTTTAGCCGCCAGCGACCGCTGCCGGCTGCGGCAACGTCCGAGCGCCCGCCTCCTCAGGCTCCTCCCCCCTCCAAGTTGTCATTGTCGCCGTCGTCCGCTCCCTTTCTCTCGTCTACTGTACCCTCAGTACGAGCGGGATTTCTAAACGACTAGCATCACTGTTCGGTACTTAGAACATACGAAGTGCCATG